TCAGGGTAACTAGTACTTTTCCAAGCAATTGTTGGGCTGGGTTCAGGAGTTGGCACATTCCAAGGGCAGTTCCCAATGGGCTGTTTTCCCTCGCTCATCTGTGATGGAGACGGAGAGATTTTGGAATTTGTACTTCTGTGCTAATTAACCAGGGTGAGTTTGAGTTTCTGGGCACTGATGCAACCAGCCCAGAATAACTGGTGTCTATTCTAGTAACACATTTATTTTTTTTTTTGGTACAGTCTGTGTGTTGCCTGGTGTGTCAAAAATAGGCTCTGGAATCAGCACGTGGCACCCGGCGTAGCTGTAGTAAAAGGGCTGAGTTTCTCTCCTCTTCCTCTGCCAGCTCTGGGGGCAAGATGTGCAGAATTGGGCACCCTGGGTACTTGAGCAGGTCACATCAGGGAGTGGCTGGTCCATCCCAGGTGTGGTAGGACTCCCTGTGAGTGTGGCCCAGGGTCTCACACGTGCTTGACAGGAGGGGTTCTGGTGATGTGAAATCATCCACATGTGCCTGGGGATTTAGAATAGAATCAGAGGAGGGTTTGGGTTGGAAGGGACCTTTAAAGCTCATCTAGTCCAAGCCCCCTGCCATGGGCAGGGACATGGAATCATAGAATCATGAAGGTTGGAAGGGACCTTAAAGATCATTCAGTTCCAACCCCCCTATGAGCAGGGAACCCCTAAATCAGGCTGCACAAAATCTCATCCAACCTGGCCTTAAAAACCGCCAGGGCTGGGACATCAACAACCTCCCTGGGAAACCCATCCCAATTCCTCAGCACCCTGAAAGTGAAGAATTTCTTCCTAATATCTGACCTAAGTCTCCCCTCTTTCAGTTTAAAACCATCACCCCTTGTTCTATCACTGTCTTCTCTGCTGAAAAGCCCCTCCCCAGCTTTCCTGGAGCCCCTTCAGGCACTGGAAGCTGCTCTCAGGTCTTCCTGGAGCCTTCTCTTCTCCAGGCTGAACACCCCAACTATCTCTGTCTTCATAGCAGAGCTCCTTCAGGCCTTTGATCATCCTCATGGCCCTTCTCTGGACCCTTTCCAGCAGGTCTGTATCTTTCCTGTGCTGAGGGCACCAGAGCTGGTCACAACATTCCAGCTGGGGTCTCACCAGAGCAGAGCATCTTCAACTGGATCAGGTTGCTCAGAGCCCCCGTCCAACCTGACCTGAAGAGTTTTCAGGGATAAGAATGTTCCTGGGCTGCATCAAAAGCAGACTGAGCAGCAGGTTGTGCAAGGGGATTGATTGAGATACTGAACATGAAATATTTTACAGTGTTGACAAAGAAGTTGTAAATACCAGGCATGTCACACAGATTCAGTGCACATCTAGAAAAAACAGGTTGCCCAGAAGGGTTGGAGATGGCCCATGGAACTGTAAGATCATGGAATGGTTTGGGTCAGAAGGGATGTTAAATATCATCCAGTTATGATAAATAAAATATTTCCAATTATTTCAGTGTACACACAGAATCTGTTTGACACACCTGGTATTTACAACTTCTTTGTCAACACTGTAAAATATTTCAAGATCAATAAATAGCCTTCTGTCCTCCACTTCCAGAGGAAATTGTGGCTGACTCACTTCAGAGCTGGTGGACATCAACATCCACCTCAAACCAGTTATTGGCCTGTCATACAGTCATAAAATCCCAGACTGGTTTGGGTTGGAAGGGACCTTAAAGATCATCCAGTTCCAACCCCCCTGCATGGGCAGGGACACCTCCCAGCAGCCCAGGCTGCTCCAAGCCCCATCCAACCTGCCCTTCAACACTGCCAGGGATGGGGCAGCCACAGCTTCCCTGGGCAACCTGGGCCAGGCTCTCCCCACCCTCACAGCACATAATTCCTTCCAAATATCTCACCTAAATCTCCCCTCCTCCAGTTTGAAACCATTTCCCCTCATTGTAAAGCCAAGCTGATCTTGGGAAGCTCAAGGTGGTCGAGGGTCCTGTTGCCAAGTTCAGCAGAGCTGAGTTGGAACAATTCCAGGTTGGAATTGTTAATGATCTTGAAGGTCCCTTCCAACCCAAATCGTCCTGTGATTCCATGATTTTTACCTCTGAAATGTCTACCTCTGCTACAAACAGATTATAAAATAGCTACCAGGCTCAGAAGGTGCTAGGAAGGAATCTGAGTGACAGGTAGACATGGACAGAAGAGAATTATTACATGATTATATTTCCTTTTGGAAAGCAGTTGAAGATACAAAGTCTGCTTTGGAACAGAAGAGGATCCTGGGAAGAAGCCTTTTATCTTCTGAGGAGCTTAGGGTGAACATTGAGTTTGTCAGTAACATGTTGACATCTTTGATCCAGGTTTATAAAGGTATTTCCTCTTCCTTTCCCTCAGCTCTTCCTGCAGGGAGGGGAAGGGAAAGGAAAAAAAGAAAAGAAAAAAACAAGAAAAAAGAAGGAATGTGGAATGAAAAAAAGAGTGGAATGAAAAAACACAGAGAAAAGAAAAAGTAGATGTAGGTAGAATCAACAGTAAGAAGGGATGGAGAGCTGGAAGTGGGATTTGAAATTGAAATTTGAATTAGAAAGGGGGTGGTTAGTAGGTTAGGGAGGTTCTGCTCCCCCTCTGTTCTGCCTTGGTGAGGCCACATCTGGAATGTTGTGTCCAGTTCTGGGCCCCTCAGCTCAGGAAGGACAGGGAACTGCTTGAGAGAGCCCAGGGCAGAGCCACAGAGATGCTGGAGGGAGGGGAACATCTCCCTGCTGAGGAAAGGCTGAGGGAGCTGGGTCTGTTGGGCTTGGAGAAGAGGAGACTGAGGGGCCACCTCATCCCTGGTTACAAACACGTTCAGGGCAGTGTCAGGAGGAGGGAGCCAGGCTTTGTGCAGTGATGTCCAGTGACAGGACAAGGGGCACTGGGTGCAAACTGGAGCACAGGAGGTTCCATGGGAATCTCAGGAAGAACTTCTTTGCTGTGAGAGTGACAGAGCCCTGGGCCAGGCTGCCCAGAGAGGCTGTGGAGTCTCCTTCTCTGGAGACATTCCAACCCCCCTGGCCACGTTCCTGTGTGATGTGCTCTGGGTGCCCCTGCTCTGGCAGGGGGGTTGGGCTGGGGGAGCTTTCCAGGTCCCTTCCAACCTCTCAGATTCTGTGATGCTGTGATTTGGCTCCTAGATTAAGATACCTGCATTTAGGGGTAGGGATGAGTGTGAGTGTCTCCACATGTGCCAGATGTTTGGTTTCCCACCAGTGGAGATCCAGTCAGTTGACAGAGCCCAGAGAAGCTCTGTGCTCATCCCAAGCAGTCACCCAGCTTTGGAACAGGAAGGGGCTCCACTGACTGTGTTGGCTGGTCTCTCTTGGCTACCACAAAGTCCCAGCCACCCTGCAGATGTGGTGAGACCTTGAGTTAGGTGTCTTAAAAGGAGACACACACTCAGGAGATTGTTGCAACCAGCAGTGATCTTGGAAGAGAAAGGCTGTTTCTTCCTTTGCAGTGTGATGATGAGTGGGAAATGTGGTAGGGCATGGAGCTGCACTGATCCTGCCCCTGACAGGGGGGTTTATGACTGGTCTCTGAGGACAACAGATGAACTTCTGCAGCCTAACCTCCCTGTCTGAGGAGGTCCTCAGATGACCAGTTAAGTGTGTGTCCCTGCACTGAAGCTTTCCTGAGCCTCTGGACTCAGTCCAACTGCTTATCTTCATGAAAGTGAAAGATTAATATCTCCAGGGCTATTTGTCAAAATTGGTTGAAGCTGATTAAATGTTCAAGGCTCTTCTGGGAAGGGATTAACCAGCAATACCATCCCTCAGGGTTCAGTTCCCTGACAAACCAGGCTGAAAACCAGTAACACAACCCAAAGCGGGTTGAGCTGGACAGGGCAGGAGGGACAAGGTCTGCAACTTTGAGGTCCCTTTGGCTCAGATTTCCTGAAATTAAGAGATGATCTTTGATTTCCAAGCAAAACTCACCCCTTTGTGGAGGGCTTGTATCACCACCCTTAGGACAGGGCCTGGTTTGCATTGGAGTCTTCAGGATCTCAACAATGCCTGGGACTATGACCCATCTCAGGCAGCAACACACCTGGGGTGTCTCCATCCTCATTCTCAGGTGAATGGCAATTTTTAGAGGAGAAAATGAAATTATTTGCTTCAAGACTAGAAAGATGTTGGTGCTCCCTTGGGAAGATCTAAAAAAAAGGCACGAGAAGGAGGTTGTGGATGGGAAGCAGGATGTTTCCTGCAGGTTTTCAGGTTTGCTTTCTGTTCTCCAAGAAGTCCCATCTCTGTCCAAATGAAATGAAAGATGGTGTTATTTTTGCCATTAACTCAATCATTCACCACCAGCTCATAAAGAGGAGCTACAGCTCATGACAAACTGTGCATTTCCTGCTCTGCTGGAGCTTCCATCTCAGACAGCTTTATCTCAAAGGGTCCCTTCTTGGATTGAAAAGCTGTTGTGTGTTAATTCGGTGCAAAAGAGGCACAATTACACAATTCATTTCTAACAGGCAAGGTCTTGGCTCCTTCCATTCCTGAGTCACCCAACTAGGTTGCCTGCATGGAAGTTTGCTGAGAAGTGTGTGTCCTGTGTTGAGTTGCAGAACCTAAATGATGATGTTCCTTTCTAACTATTCTTTTCCACTTTAACTGTGAGGGTCAGGAACTGCTTGCAGGGAGTTTCAGTGCAGAGGTGACCCTGTAGAGACAGAAAATTCATCTTTCCTTTCAAAATAAAGGGTCACAGTCACATCCAAGGCCAGGTTTTCAGAGGGCACCCAACCACTGTCACACACGTTTTCTGGTGCCCACGACTGCCTGATTTTAATAGACCAAATCCTTTTAACTCCTCCTGATGTCTCAATGGGTCTTGAATGAGCTGTTGGGAACCAGTTTCTGGGTAAACCTGACTGGATGGAGGCAAAATCCTTCCAAGCAGACCTTGCTGAGCAACGTGGGGTTTCATTCCCACTTTCCCACTTCTCTCCAGTGGGTTGAATTCCTGAACCTCTTTCTTTTTTTTGCTCTTCAGAAACGAGTTCAGACCCTGGGTAGATGTTAAGCCTGTGAAAGCTATAAAGGCAAAGCCCCAGTACAAGCCACCAGAGGAGAAAATGACCCATGAAACCAGTTACAGTGCTCAGTTCAAGGGGGAAACCAGTAAGCCTTCTCCAGCTGACAACAAATTCCTGGAGCGCAGAAGGATACGCACTCTCTACAGCGAACCCTACAAAGAACCACCAAAGGTGAGGAACACTCTGGAGAGGTCCCAGGGCCATCCCTGCAGCTGGTGGGAAGTGTCCCAACACAGTAAGGCTGGGCTGAACGTTGCCTGCTTTCCTTTCCTTTCTGGAGGATCTTTATTTCTGACCAGAGGGTGATAGATACCTGGGGGTCCACCTTGGAGGTGGTGGTGGGTGAAAAACTGTGTGTGAGCCAGCAATGTGAACTCACAGCCCACAGAGCCTGTCAGATCCTGGGCTGCATCAATAGAAGCCTGGCCAGCAGGTCAAGGGAGGGGATTCTTCCCCTCTTAGCCCACTCTGGTGAGAAACCCCTGGAGGGGCTGGGTCCAACTCCAAGGCCCCCAACACAAGAAGGTGGTCCTGCTTGAGTCAGTCCAGAGAAGGCAGCAAAGATGCTCAGGTGGCTGGAACTGCTCTCTGAGGAGGACAGGCTGGGAGAGTTGGGGTGTTCAGCCTGGAGAAGAGAAGGCTCCAGGGAGACCTGAGAGCAGCTTCCAGGGCCTGAAGGGGCTCCAGGAAAGCTGGGGAGGGGCTTGGGACAAGGGCAGGGAGGGATGGGAGCAGGGGGAAGGGTTTCCAGCTGGCAGAGGGAGCTGGAGCTGAGATGGGAGGGAGAAATTCTGGGCTGTGAGGGTGGGGAGAGCCTGGCCCAGGTTGCCCAGAGAAGCTGTGGCTGCCCCATCCCTGGCAGTGTTGAAGGGCAGGTTGGATGGGGCTTGGAGCAGCCTGGGCTGCTGGGAGGTGTCCCTGCCCATGGAGGGGGTTGGAACTAGATGATCTTTAAGGTCCTTTCCAACTCAAACCAGTCTGTGATTCTGTGAGCTCTAGCAGAGATTGATGCACTTTGCAGACAAACTGCCCTATGTCAACTGTAAAGAAGTGAGGGCAGGGCCCAGATGAAGAGGTTTTCACATCTTTGTTTCCCAGGTGATTTTCTAGGCAGCTTTTTCTTTGTCCCTCCAAAAGCATAAGCACCACACATTGCACTTTATCCCAGGAACAACACGGTAAGAGCAAGATCTTCATCTGCAGTTCATTCAGTGCTCCACAGATTTTGACAGTGAGCACTTTTAGCTTTGATCAGATGGAGGGGACATGTTGAGAAGGGCCTGGGCTGAAGTGTCTTCCAGCCTTGTTTTCTACCAGCAGCAGCAGAGGAGCTGCATATAAATGGAGTAAATCTGTGCAGTTTTAGTCCTTCCCAGAGTTTATAAGTGCTCAGATTTGTGAGGTCTCAGAGGGATGGCAGGGCCAGCAGGATCTGAGGGCTTCCTGCTGTTCCTCCTGAATTTTGAAGCTGTCCTCTCTGCTTTGTGGGCTCTCCAAACAAGAGGATGTAGGCCATTGTTGGGGACTTGGCTGAGGTGCAACGTGGTGTCCTACTCCCCAGCCACCCCCAATGATCTATTCTAGCAATCTCCTAGAGACAAACAGACTGAGGAGTCATGTCCTGCAAGGAAGGTGGGGATTTGTACCAGTCTCCTTGTCCTGAGCATCGTTTCTTGATTCCAGAGAGAAACAGTCCCCTCTGGGCTTGCAAAACTCTTCTAGTTTGAGGAAGAGGAGCCTGAGGGGAGACCTCATTGCTCTCTACAGCTACCTGAAAGGAGGTTGTAGGGAGGTGGGAGTTGGGCTCTTCTCCCAAGTGAATGACAGGACAAGAGGAAATGGCCTGAAGTTGCACCAGGGGAGGTTTAGGCTGGCTAGTAGAAAGGATTTATCTACTGAAAGAGTGGTTGAACAGTGGAACAGGCTGCCCAGGGAGGTGGTGGAGTCACCATCCCTGGAAGTGCCTAAAAGAACCATAGATGTGGTGCTGAGGGACATGATTTAAGCACTGAACTGGTAAATCAGGTCATGGGATGGGGAGTTAGGTTATGGTTGGACTTGAGGATCTTCAAGGTCTTTTTCAATGAGGGTGATTCTGTGTGATTCTGTGATTCTGTAGAAGCCAACAGAGCTGAGCAGATGAGTAACATTGATGCCCTTTGTGATCTAAACCCTGTTTTCCACCTGTCCTTGTGTCTCTCTTCCTCCCTTTCTCTTTCCACCTCCGTGTTGTCGTTTTGCCTGTCGCCCTCCATGCAGGTGGAGAAGCCTAGTGTAAAGCCTTCCAAACCAAAAAAGACCACGACAAGCCATAAACCCCTGAAAAAGGCCAAAGACAAGCAGATTGCATCTGGCCGGGCTGCCAAGAAAAAGAGCGCCGAGACCTCCAACACAGCCAAGCCAGAGGACAAGGAGAAAAGCAAAGAGATGAACAATAAACTGGCTGAGGCAAAAGAGTAAATGTCACTGCACTTTTCTTTCTTTCTTGTTTCTATTTTTCTTTCCTTCTTTCTTTCCTTTTTTTCTTTTTTTCCCCCCCTTTGTTCTATTTTTTTTTTCCCTCCTTTGATTAAATAAAGGCCACAAAATTAATTAGAGGCTTCTAATCTGCTTTGTGTTCTGATTGTATTAGAAGCTTCTCTGTTTTATTTCCGAGGAGGATTAAGGGATCCTTGTTGCTGAGGTCAAGTTTGTTCTGCTTTGCCTGCACAACACGGCTCTGCACAGAGTGAGGGATGTGGGAATGCACAAGCAAGGGTTGTAGGAGATGAAGGTGATGGACCAACCATGGTTGCATCCAACAGCCTGTCCCTTTCCTCAGGCTTGGGCCTTCAAGGCTTTGCCAGCTTGGAAGTGCCTGTTGAGCCATGGAAGGGCTGTGCTCTCATCCCGTGAGGCCCTTTTGGGGTCGTCTCCCACTGGTGTCAGTAGGTGGAAAGGCTTTGGAGGCTGAGAGGATCAGAGGTTCATTCATGGTGCCATGGATCTGCCAGAAATCCACTTAGAATCAGTGGTGTGGCCAAGAGGGGGTTTCCCCTGGTGACACCGGTGGGACTTGCTCTCCAAGAAGCAGCAGGGAAGGAGATGCCTTGCAAATCAAGGGCCAAATCTCCCCCCAGGGTAGCTGGGGGTTGGTTCCAGCTGCATCGAGGCAGCTTCACCCATCAAACACCACTTAGAAGACCTGATTTGCTTAAAAAGGGGAGCAAGGGAAGGTGCAGAGAGCAGTGAAGACTTCCCAAGCATGTGGCAGGTCAGACTAGGGCATCTGCAGGTGGTTCTCCCCTGTTGTTCTCTGTAGGTTATGGATCTTTTTAGTTAGTCCTGGGTTGGTTTGGATCTTGGTCTGCCTTCTTCACTTCTAGGGTGGCAGTAGACAGAGCTAGATTCCAGGAAGAGGTTTAGTTTGCAGATGTGGTCTTCCTAGGAGTAGAAAGAAAGAAGTTACCAAGGTTGGCTAGAGCTGTCAGCCCCATTGTTTTGACTCTGCCAGCTGTTGGAGTTCATTAGCTTAATTAATGAGCTGTTGGAGCTCATTAGCATCTTAAGAGGGCCCTAAACCAGTTGCTGGGATCCCCAGACTCCCTCCAGGCAAGATCTCAGGGTCTCAATCCTACTTACTGTGCTCTTACTCCAGGAAATCCCCATGCCCAGCATGACCAGTTTGGAAGCAGGACATTTAGTCAGTGAGGATGAACTGGCCCAACAGCCTGGCATTGTACACCCCAAAACTGGGGTGGCTGAGTCAAGGGGAGCTGGGAGAGGTGGGGTCCCATTCCAGCTTTATGTGCCTAACTCCTGGATTGGGTCCTAAATGCATAAGGATGGGTTGTGATCTCACCCAACTGAGCTGTTAAACTCTCCTGTAGTGGAGCAGCTGCAAGTTGAGGTTCTTTTTTTATTCTTGCAACTCAGTGTTTCTGTCCTAACGTGCAGCCCAGCTGGAAACTTCCAGAGAACAGACAATGGGGAAGAACAAAGAGATGGGAAGCAGGGCAAGGAGGTGGTGTAAGAGGAGAGAGCATCAGACCTGTGTGTTGCCATAGAGGTGTTTGAATGAGGAAAGTCTTGCTGCTGGGATGTTTTAGAGATGTGAAACTATCTTAACAAAACAGAAACCAAAAGGGATGGGCCAAGAGGGTGAGGAAGTCCTGGTGTTGGGTTCTCACCCTCTTTAGAATTGGGTCTTTTGGAAACGTAAATGAGTAGTGGGCTACAAGGCTGAGAGGCTGTTTCCAAAGAGAAGGAGAGCTCTGTGGTGTACAGATAGTAACCTTTGCTGGCCTTAGTAAAGAATAAATGCCAAGTTCAGTGTATTGTGTGATGTGTCCTGTTTGCCTTGCTCTAACAGCCTAAAGCTTTGAGTATCAGTAAGTGTAGTGTTCTGAATTCAGTGGTGTATTTCCAAGCTTAGCTGTGTTAGAACTGTGTGCTATGAGCTAGTCAGGTTGTGTGTGTGGAAAAATATATATTCATATCTAGAAATATATATATATATAAACCTCCCATGTTGAGGAGGAAACCAGGGAAATCCTCCAGGAAGTAAAACTGTGGAAATCTTTGCGAATGTGGTGCATTTTTTATGTGCATGCTCCATGGAGATGCTGACCTGTCCATATTGACCATTGCTTTTTTTTCTGAGTGCTCAGAAGCCCCTGCAAGCACCTTCTCGAGTGTAAAGCTCAGCTCTGTCTCCAGAGCAGCTCAGCAAAAGGCTTTGAGTGGAGCTGGTGGAGAGAGGTGTTGCCCACAGCTCTTCCCACCCCGTTGCACAAGGGGCAACTGGCCAGAGAAGCCTGAGCTTGGTGTGGTTCCTTGGCATTGAGGTGCTCCATCCATCTTCACGCTCCTCAGAAAGGTCCTTTCCTCTCTCAGGAGGTAGCAACAGCATGAAGGTGACACGTGGCAGCAGGCAGAACATGTCAGGAAGGCACGTAGACAATTCCTAGTAGCCCCCAACACACCCAGTACAGAAGGAAAGACCACAGCCAACAGTTCTCCCCATGATTTGTTGGCCCAAAGCTTTGCATTCTAAAAGGCAGCCACCAACTCACCTGGAGTTCAATGGGAATTTAGCCCTTGACTTCAAGGGTGACTAAATTTTGCCCAAGGAACATCAGTAAGATGCTCAAAGGACCTAATCCAAGCATCTCCCCCACACTGTATCAACTGCTCATCATCTAGGGCTTCAGGTTTGCTGCTTCTCAAGGAAGAGCATCCACCACAGTGAGAGGTCAGAAGATGCCCTTACATTTCCTTAATACATGTAGTTTTTGGTGGCATCTGACTACAAAGCCAGGCATGAAGTACTAGCCAGAGCTGTAAATTCCCTCTCTAGTGAAGGAACTTTCCAAGGGCCATTGAGCTACCTATGTTGGACCCCTCTCTTTGGGTGGAATGAATGACCTTTGGAAGGTTTCAATCTGTGCAGAAAGAAAGAGCCTGAGAGACTGGTAGGGCCTGGGGACCTCCCTCTCAGGAGGGATATAAATAGGGACATAAATCCTGCCCTTTGTTGCACGTGCACCAGGTCCTCAGCAGACACCCAACACCCAGTTTAGCTTTGCATGGAATGCCAGGAGCTGCAGCAGAGCCAGACCTCGGGGGGGGAGATCCTGCACTGCTCCACCTTCCACAGACTTTTATGCCCACCCAACCCACTCAGGTGTATCAGAAAGGAGCCCAAATCTCTGCCCTTTTGCCTGTTCACTGAGGACTCTTGAGCTTGTCCATCCCACTGGGAAAGAG